CCCTCGAGCCTACAGCAGCCTGCAGCCCCTTCTCTGCGCCGCCCCTCTTCTGCAACCAGATCCTGCAACTGCAAAGATAGATCTTGCGCCTATGTTGCAGCCAACTGATGGCAGACCAGCGTCCTTTAGGTCTTCCTTTGATTTTTGTATAAATAGGGGAGGATTGGTGAGTTAAAGGGGGTTCGGATTTTTCTCCTTCTGCGGTTCCTCTTCCTCTTGTCACTAAAAAAGAGAGAAGCAGAAGACAGAAATCCGAAAGAAAGGGGGGGTCTTTGTTTTTTGGTGAGTTTGGTGTTGACGAAAAAAAAAGAAAGGAAAAATTGTTCTGCTGGAAGAATTGGGTCTGCTTTGTGTAGGTAATTTCTTTGAACAGAGGAGTTCTTCCGGGGAGGCAGTGAGGGGAATGATCTGGGCTTGATCCCGTGGGTGGGATCCACCAGATCGGACTCCGATCTGTTACCCGGAAAGCTCCGCCGTGCTTGTTTCTTTGTCTTCCTGCTTCTGTGATCTGCTTTTATGTTATTTATGTTTGTATTTGTTTACTGAAAATCAATGAAAAATCAAAAAAATGTCCAGTTTATTTTCCTGATGAATATTGTTTATCCTTTTTTTTTGGAAATGAGACGCAATTGAAATGAACCCTAAATTTCATTTCGTTGCTGTCCAGATTCTATTTCTGTCTTGTTTGATCTGTTTTCTCTGCATATTTTGGTGAATGGTATTGTGTTTCCAGGCAGGTTGACCCGACCCAAGCTAAAAAAAAAAACTAAAAAAAAAGAGGTAAATAAAATGATAAATTGATTATGATAATTAGTTTAATATGTGATTAATAAAGTTAATTAGATTTACTTAATTATCTTGATTAGAAGTTAATAAATATGATTAATTAATTTTAATTAATTTTAATTAATTTTAATTAATGATAAGTTAGTCATTGAACTAATTATCATAATTAAGTAATTTTAAATCTTTTGTTTGCCTTAATCTTGCTTTAAAAAAAAAAAATCAAAAGTTATCTCTTTTATTCCAATTTCACACAAAACTTTCATGGTTAAGCACTTTAGTCCAAAAGTTTCAAACCTTTTCAAATTAGTCCATTTAATTTTTATTTGTGCTTATTGTGCATTGCATGTCTTTGATTTTGTCCATTTTAGTCCAAAATGTTAAAAATGTTGCAATTTGGTTATCTCTTTTTTCAAGCTTGTTTATTAAGACCCAAATATAAACACAACGAGTAAGTTGAATCAAAACCCCAATTTTAAAGTATGCAACCGTATTTAAATTGAGGATTGTGAGGTGCGCGTATGCCTTTCTTCACTTCTAATCAAACCCCTGGACCTCGATCTCTCTGTAGACCTATTTTTAGGTGACTTGTCCCACCTTATAATTTGGACGAGTGGCGACTCCCTTTCCTTATATTTTTTACACTTGATTTTCAATTTATTTTGAAAGAAAAATCTAAAGTGGTCGTCAACATTATTTTGTAAAGAATTGGAGCTTATTTTGTTTAGTATTAGGTTTGTTTTGGATATGAATTGAGCTTATTTTGTGAAGTTTATAGCTTATTTTATGAAATTTATAGTTACAGCTTACTTTGTGAAGCTTATAGAAATTTGCAATGAGCTTACTTTGTGAAGCTGTACTTTGTGAAACTATACTTTGTGAAGCTGTATTTTGTGAAGTTTATAAAAGTTTGCAATGCACTTATATAAGTTCTCTTAATTATCTGTAATGCTTTATAGAAGTTTTTTATTTTAGATTTTCTACAAAGGTTTGTGTTGGGAGCTTGATTAGAGATAATTTTGGTAGTTGGGTTTCAGGATTCACGGTTAATATGGCGTATACCTCTATTCTCATAGCAAAACTCTGGGGTCTCAGAGAAGGGCTTGGGTTATGCCAATCCCTTGGACTTTCTTGTGTTATTGCAAAAATGGACTCTCTCATATCTGTTTGCCTTATCAATGAGAACCGAGAACCAGATAACTTGTCCGCAGCTATTCTATTGAAAATTAAAAACTTGATGCAGGGAATTGATGTGTGTATATTGCAGCATACTTTAAGAGAAGGTAATGCTGTAGCAAACTTTTTAGCTTCCCTAGGACACTCAACTGCACCAAGATTACATATTTGGGATTCTCCACCTAGTGGATTATGGAATATCCTTGGAAGGGATCAGATGGGGGTATGCTTCCTCTGTTAGTAGTTTTCCTTATTTTAATTATTTAGCTTATTTCTACTGTACCAAAAAAAAAATTTGTGCAAAATTTGTTAATTGTTGTGGAAATTTATTTTGTACATAAAAGGGCAATTGCCAACTTTATTGTATATAACCAATTTACATTGTACAGTACAAAATTTTTTATGTGAGCTTACAAGTCACATTTTGTCATAATAAACCCAAAAAACATGAAAAAAAAAAAAACCCACAAACAAGCTAAGGCTAAATCTGCATAATATCTTGTGTTTTTGGCCTTTTTGCTGTATGCCTTGTTCAACTCATTCTTCACAGCATTCTCCACTATGAAGGAAACTATCTTATTCTCAAAAGCAGCAGCAACCTCATTCTTTAATTGTTCAACCTTATCATTGAAAGAGACCTCTTGAGACCTCACGTTTGCTAAGTTGACTCCTCAATAGATGTAAAGACAGAAGATAACTTCATTTGCCCTCTACTGCCATGCCATTCAATTTGTTAAAATCTAATCTGACTTGTCATAACAAAAGAACTTTCTTTCACCTACTTGAATTTTTCCTAAGCATTAACCTTGCCCAAACAACACAACAAACAAAAATACAATCTTCAAATTAAAACCATAAAGTCAGGCCTAAATTCTGGAACAAATAAATTATAATAGCATAGGTACCAATCTACAAACTTAATGTAAGGAACAAATAAAAGCTACCAATCTGAAAAACTCCAAAGCCAGGCTTTTAGGGGGCACCAAGGAAAACAATACTAATTCCTAATAGCATAAAGCAGTTCTAACAGAAGTAGTGTGACAACACCATTAATACTACAATCACCTGCATGCTCCAATCCTCAAAATACTAGTATTCTATAGCATGAATAAATAATTTACGTAATTTACGAGGCACCAATTTAAAAATTTTATCATCAAATAGTTAAGGAAAAATGGCTCTGGCTACTGAATTTAATTGAATAAACAAACAATTCCTAAAGTCAACCTTCTCTTTTCCAGATTCAACAAGAAATTGGAGTAAGAAAACAAAAATAATTTCTGTCCCTGTTGCTACCGGAGAACAAAAATACTTTCAAAAGGTCGTTTGCCTTTGATTCCTTTTTTGCTACCGTCGATGGCATGATTGTATCTGAAAAATTCAAGGGACCGATGATTAAAAAGAGACCCAACAAAAAAGAGAGATTTTTTCGATTTGTTTAGGTAGATAGAGCTTACTGTCCCTCGATCCCTTCTCTTCGACGAAAATGATGAATTGTAGCAGCATAATGGGGTTAAAGTGGTGGATGTTGGGGATTAAGCCATTGGCATGGGATTGCATTTGAAAAATTGGAGGAATTGGAGGAATCGATGGAGATGGAGATGGAGATGATTGCAGAAGAAGTGAAAAAAGTAGGGGTTACCGTCAACGGAGAAGATGAATTGCAGTGGAATTGGAGGATTCGGAGGAGTCGATGGAGATGAGAGGCAATGGAGAAGGAATCAGAGATAGAGATGGAGATGACTGCAGAAGAGGCAAAGGCAAAAGAGGCAAAGGCAAAGGCAAAGGGGAGGGGCTGGGATTAAGAAAACGACGTCGTTTTGGGTTAGGACTCCAAATTTTTTTGGGAGGTAGGACTGATGGCCACTTTACCGTTAATATAAAATATCCATTATACCATTACATTATATTTTTTAAAAAAATTCTATATTTTTTTATTTCTTAATAAATTAAAAGTATAATAATAATATATATTAAAGCAAAACTAAAAAAAATTATTTTGTATTTACATTGTGTATTCACACTTATAAATTAAACTTATTATTATTATTAATTAAATCTCTAAACAAGATCCAAACTAGATTGGAATCAGTTTAAATATTCTTTTTCACATTACACCTAATTTTTTTTATTATTCTTATTTAATCAATCAATTTAATTCAATTCAATTATATTACCCATTTTCCTAAATTCTTATTAAAAAAATATTCATAAATTTATGTTTATCTATATGTGTAATTGAATTTTTTGTTTGTTATAGTTAACAGAAGTTTTTTTTTTTTTTTTATAATTTTACAATTCAAAATATAGATAATTGGGACTATAGCTGAAGATATATAACTAGGTTGAATAGATTTATTCTTTAGTTATTTTATTTAATATTTTCAATTGAAAAAAAAATAGTAGCAATAATTAGTATAATAATTTAGTACGTATATACATATATATAATAAAGAATTTATTCTTTAATTAAAATTAAAATCCTAAAACCATTTTTGTATTTAGATTGTGCATTAAAACCGATACACATTTATAAATTATATATAACTTGATTATTATTCTTTAATTCTTTAATTAATTCTTTAATTATTCTTTAATTTACCTTAAAATTAAAATCCTAAAAACTTTTTTGTATTCATATGTTCATATCTATTCACATGTTCATATCTATTCACATTTATAACTATATATAATTTTATTATTATTCTTTAATTATTTTTTAATTTTTTAATTATTTATTAATTTACCTTAAAATTAAAATCCTAAAAAAAAATTTATATTCAAATTGTGTGTTCACATCTATTTACATTTATAAACTATCTATAACTTTATTATTATTATTCTTTAATTATTCTTTAATTAATTCTTTAATTTACCTATAAAACTCGAAACTGGTGTGTTCACACCTATTTACATTTATAAATTATCTATAACTTTATTATTATTATTATTCTTTAATTCTTTAATTTACCTATAGAACTCAAAACCAGTTTGGAAGAACCCTTTTCACACTACTTTTTTGTGCCTTTTTTTTTTTTTTTTTAAAAGTTAGAATGCCTAAATAAACTTTAGTTTCTTCTCCTCCCAAAAAAAAAGAAAAAGAAATGTCATTTCTTCATTATTGCTACTGGACCTCCTTCTCATTAAAGCCATGGCAGCTGGACGGTTTCAATGCTGGAACCCATTGCCGTCAGGTGTTTTCATGCCACCTCTTTCTCCAGTCTACTCAACATGTCTCGTGGCCTCTCAATTAGGAAACAAATTTAAACCCAAATCATCTCTTAAACCTAAGTATCTACAAAGTCCATGGCTTAGCATTAGTCTTTGTCTTCGATTGTCAAATCCCAACTTGACTTCCAAAATCGTCGCCTGATCCCTTCCATCGTAGTGTTTAACCTCCCAAGTCTGACGATTATGTTGTTTCCGTGGATGCTCAAGGCCTGAGACGCCAACTTTGTCAAGGTTGATCAAGCCCAAATCGAGTTTGATCTCATCCAGGTAAGTTTTGCTCTTTTCCCCCCCTTAATCTATTTTGATTTATTGCATTTTATTGATTTCTTACCCAGCTTCTATCGTAAGGTTGGTTTTGATGTTCTTTGGATTTATGTTATGTACTGTT